TCTTAATGAATAGGAACCAGTTGAAAGTGATAACAGGGTTCATGACTGGGCACGCCCCAGTAAAGGGACACTTGAACAAAATTGGCATGTACAATGGGGAACTCATGTGCCGACTATGTCACAAGAAACGAGAAACGGCCAAACACATACTGTGCAAATGCGAAGCTCTAGATCGCAAAAGACAGGCTCTTTTTGGACAACCCCAGGTTGATCCAACAACGTATAGAACCCACTCACCCAAGGATCTGTACAAACTTGTACAAGGTACAAAGGTGACAGAGTGGGTGCTATGAACTAACCTGGGGTAAAACACAATAAGCCAATAGGCTTCAGTGTTATTCGGAGACACATAGTCAGACGAGCCCAGGAGAAAGAAAAAAACTCGTAATGTACCTTCTATTGTCAGTGAATATTCATATCATCCTTCTTTATATCTCCAAGTTAATAATCTTTTTAATGTTCCCAATGTATTTGAACCGAATTCAAAACGAAAAGCATATAACTTCAAGCGTGCCAATTATCCGTTACTATATGAAGCTCTCATGAATATTAACTGGTATTATTTATTGATATACAAAGATGTAAACGATGCTTTACATTAGTTTTATATTACCTTGTACTCAATTTTTGATCAATTTGTTCCTACTTACAAGATTTACAAGCATAAATTCCCCTTATGGTTCGATTCCGTCATTATTAGAAATATTAAGAATAAAGAAAATATCTTAAAAAATATAAAAGAACAAATGATAGACGTTTTTTAGCACATTTTAAACTAATCCGATCGCAAGTCAAACAGCAAATAAAGTATGCTTATCAATCTTACATTAATAAAGTCCAGGGTAGTATAACAACTGATTCTCGCTTGTTCTGGTCATATATTAGTTCAAAAAATAAAAGTTCAGGTATTCCAGGCACTATGGTGCTTGAAGACGAATCATTTACGAATCCTCAAGATATAGTTGATAAGTTTAGTCAATTCTTTGAAAGTGTTTTTGTAACATCATCTGAGCCACAGCAGGACAGGGCTAATTTATTTGAATCACAATTCTACGGTGATATTAAAATTGGCCATATCATTCGGACATCGTACAAGCCAGTAAAAAATTAAGCAATAAAATGACTTCTGGCTCTGATGACATCCCCTCATTTTTTGTTAAAGACTGTATTTATGTACTAGCCTCTCCATTAAACATAATATTTAATTTAGCATTAAAATCAGAGAGCTTCCCAGAGCGGTGGAAAGAAGCAAGAATTATTCCTATTGGCCTGTATCTATTCTGTCAAATCTATCGAAAATCTTTGAGATTGTCATTTATAATCACATATATTCTTCAGTCCGCAACCTAATATCGCCTTCGCAGCATGGTTTCTTAAACAAAAAGTCTACAGAAAGTAATTTACTTGTAATAACTCAGCACTTATCTGAAGCGGTTGATGCAGGTAGGCAAGTGGACGTTATTTACACTGATTTCTCAAAGGCCTTTGACAGAATGGATCATGGGATATTGATTGATAAATTAAACCAATTTGGCTTTTCTCAGACCTTGATAAGGTTCTGTATGTCATACCTTCTGGAAAGGTAGCAGTTTGTCTTTTATAACGGTCATTCGTCACAGGTGTACTTTGCAAAATCAGGCGTCCCTCAAGGTTCTAACCTTGGACCATTGCTATTTTTGTTATTTATTAATGATCTCGATCACCGTTTAAACTCTTGTAGACTCATTTATGCAGATGACTTTAAGATATACCTCTTAGTATTAAATATGTATGACTGTTTAGCGCTTCAGCAGGACCTAAATATATTGTCAGATTGGTGCATGCAAAATAGGTTAATGTTAAATGCATCGAAGTGTAAAGTGATCGCATACACTAGAAAAAGATCAACTATAGATTTTTATTATAATATTAATGGTTTGGTATTGTCACGTTGTTCCTCAATCACTGATCTGGGTGTCACTTTCGACTCAAGGCTGAGTTTTGTTGAGCACATTATTATGAAGGTTTCTGACGTGGGATCAAGGACATTGGAGCATTAAAGACTTTATATTAGTCATACATCCGCACTAAGCTTGAGTACTGTTTAGCTATCTGGTATCCTTATTATAATGTTCATATACCTAACTAGTGTTGAATCTGTTCAAAGGAAGTTTTTGAAATACTTATCATTCAAAGTAAATGGTGTCTACCCGCTAAGAGGAATTGATTATCAGCTACTTTTGGACAGTTTTAACATGGAAAGTCTTGCGTTTCGGAGAATTCTACCTTCATTGACTTGTTTACATAAAATCATGAATGGGTTAATTGACTGTCCTGCTATCTTGGTTAAAATTCATTTAAACGTTCTACAGTATAATAACAGACATCACTTAACTTTTTACTGTAATAGATCTAGAACAAATATTCTATTAAGCTCACCTCTCAATGTCATGTGTAATAATATTAACCTGTACTGTAATTCTTCGGATATCTTCAAAGATAGTTTGATAAGTATTAAAGCAATTGCTCGCAACTTGTATGACAATGCTTAAGTTTTTTGTTTTATGTTTTTTTTTTTATTTTTATTGATTTTTATTTTCAGTTTTTTATATGATACTTTTTATTTTATAATTCTTTTTTATCATGTCACCTTTACTACTTATATTGTTAATAATTGATTAGGTTGCTCTGTAAACGGGTTTATATCTGTTGGGATTGCTATTATTATTATCAATGGCGTTCGCGTACAATAATAAGCCATCCTCGGAACGATTTATTTTAATTTTATTAATTTATTTGTACTAATTTTTCAGGAAATAGCAATATTAAATTAAATCAAAAGCTGGAAACGACTACCCTGTGCTTCAATACATGCTCTAAATCGCTTTCGCATATTTCTTCTGACTCTTCGGAATATTTGAGGACTTTGATGTATTGTTTCACAAGTATTGGTAGCACATTCCAGTTCATGTGGCTTCATTTGCTATGGAACTGGAATACACTAGTTGTTTCTAATGCCTCAGAGATAGAAATCTCAGGGATTTCATTCAGGTGATCGGGGTAGCCAAGAAATAGGTCCGCCCCGACCAATACAATTTCCTTGAAGAGGTACATTTGACATTGAAATAAAATGTAATACAACTTTGAGGACCAGACAAATCTGAATAAAGATATGATAGCAACAATGGGAATCTTTGAAATGGAAAATGAGATACTCAAAAACGATTTATTCACAAATAAAACAAAAAGTGATAATACTGAAGATCAACTAACAAATTTAAATAAAGAAATTGTAGAATATAATAAAAGTCAAATTGTGAAACTAGAAAAACAAAATAATAAAATAGCTGAAGAGCTTTAAGTCTCAACTAAAAAATTTAGGGATTAAGAGCAGTATAACAAATCAAATCTTGGAAAAAATATCAGATAAAAACAAGACTTTTGAAGAAAAAGTTAACAAAATTGTTCAACAAGTCTACAAATGCAACACCAAAAATTCTAATTTTGACTGATGAAAAGGGAATCGACAAGTAACTAAGAAAGCAGCTTAAAAATTTCCAAATTTTGCAAATTACTAAACCTGGAACAACTTTAGGACATGTGATACAAAATATTGAAACATTGGTAAACGACTTTAGTTTTAAGGATGTTGTTATTATCATATGCGGGGAAAATGATTTCCAGCTTATCCAAGTATGAGATTCTTAAATTTTAAATTAAAGCAATGCACAAATACTAATTTAATATTACTTTTGACACTGAAAATAAATAAACATAAATAAATTTAATTCAAAACTGTGCAGTTATATTAATTCTTTCAACCTAGATTGGAGCCAAAATGTCTCCTACTTGGATATCTGTAACAAGGGGGTTATAAAATGAACAACTATAAGTTATCTGTTTCTATAAAGAGTGCAGTATACTATCCTCCATTTATTGAATATCAAAATTTAATTTATATTAAACCTAATGAACCAGAAGTATTAAGAACAAATGAAATAGATACAGATGATGTTGAAAAGAGTCTCACAACACCTATTATTCTATATAATACAGATGCAGAAGATAGTTTTAGTTTTGACATAAGCAATCCTAATCACACCCATATTGATTTTTTAGATGTGGGAATTTCAGATTAGCTACTGAAAGAGTCAATGTAAACGCACTTGCACTTTATTGTCTTTTCCTGACTTTTATGTTCTTCAGTATTAGGGCTTTCTGTTTCTGGAACTCCAAATAGTAATATATTGTTTGCCCTTGATTGTCTTTCTTGCAGTTCTGTAATAACCGCTTCACTTGTTAAGTCGGATAGTTGGGGTTTTTCCGGTGCATTTGGATCCTCGCGTTTCTTATATTTGCCTACATTGTCTGTGTAAGAGACCTTAAAGTTGTTAACTTCTAAATTCAGCTATTTAACTTCTCCTTCCATATTACTGAATTGATTTTTCAGATTTTCGTTTTCTTTTATATTTTTATAGTTGTACAGTGTATGTGTAATTTCCTGTAATTTTGGTTCCAACTTGGCCATTTCAGTGTCCAATTTGCCTTCAATTTTTTCTACTTTTGGATTTAAGTTTGCCAAGACTCTGATATTTTGGAGGCAGTCAGTACATAAAAAAAGCAGAGTTCGTTTAGATAGTGTTATGCAATGGACACCTGACGAGTATATACCTAAGCAGCTTTTGCAAAATGTTAGCTTACACCCATCACATGGACAGTCGAGGAGTTATTTCTTTCTTCTTGTTGTATGCACTCTTTGGTGCACTTGCTACTGGATACTAAAATTTGACTTGTTAAGATTGTGGTTTCTTGTCTGTTTTAGGTGCCAATAATCTGACCACTTTTTTGTGGCCGTGTTTATTTACTTTTCACTTAAATGCACAAAATCAAAGTTTATGAATCTATTAAAACATAATTCACATTGCCAATTTGTAGAATTTAAATTAAGATGCAAGCTGGTCTAAATTTGTAATGGTTTTAGTAATTACTGTTCACAAACTTATTCATTTAAAAATACTTACATGTTTTCTGAACAACTCCGCATGAACTCCCAAACATGGATCCACAGACTCAATGAACTGTATCACTTCTTCTATACCCCATTCTTGAGTGGGTATCTTGTTTAAACTTAACACTGGCGATTCCGAGGTGGGTGGTTCAGCGGGAGTCGTTGACGTGGCTGCCTCTTGCTCTGGAGGCTTACGCTTCGGCGGCGTGGGTGCCGATTTAACATCACAAGAGGGACAGTCTTTTGAGGATTGCTCCAAATCTACAGAAATAATAAAGAAGTAAGGTAAATAACGTTTTCCTCATGATAATGTAATGGAAAATTTAGTTAACAAATTAACTAGTTATTTAAAAAATAAATAAAATGTTGACTTACTAAATAAATTCCGACAACAACCCAAAGCCTGCGCTAAAATATGAAAAACTTCCTCCAAATCGCTCGCCTTAACCAATTGCGGCAACTTAATAGTGTAAGTATTCCCTTCATGGGTTATAACCATTTCCTCCCCACTAAGGGTCCCCAACCTGGCCAGAATTTTTTCAGACTTATGAGAAGCGCTAAGAATTTGATTCACGAGCTTCTTTGCGAGATCAGCAGGGGAAGAATCTTCTACAGAAGACGCTAGTAGAGTTGAATCTATAAGGGGCCCTCCGGTACAACTTTTCCGGAAATAGATAACTATGGGTGGCGGGGGTGGAGCTGATGTATCGGCTTCGGGAGATTGAACTATTTCAGCCGCTGTTGAGCTCACTGAAGAAATTGGTGGTAATTGTGGAGCCGCAGCGAAGGCCGGTTTAATTCTAAATCTGTAAAAAAATTGGTTTACATCATGAATATAGAAAGAATACACATAAAACTGTTTAATTAATTGCATGTGCCAAAATAAGTCACATTCTAACAAACAAATAGTAAACCATCTATTTCATAAAAAAAAAAAATAAATAAATAAACATATCATCTAATACACGATGGTCGGATAGATAGTAGTAACAATGAAGGTAGGGTTGACAGAGTTGTTGAATTAAATGAAAGTCACAATTCTATTTTAGAAACAGTCAATTCACCAATTAACAAGATAGATGAGTTTCATTTTACACTAGCTCTTTTGCTGACAGAATACTGGCTTGAAAAATATAATTATATGTGCATGCCAGATTATAATTTGGTTAGTATCTTTTGCAGAGAGATGTTTGAACATGTAGGAACAGAAATATTGATAAACAACTCCCTTTTTTACAGTTTGGAATTTGATTTAGTAAAATACAAAAATGTTGTTGATGAGAAACAATTTGAGTTTTCCATTATTAATATTAAAAAGTTAAAAAAATATAATTTCTATTTATAGATCTCCAAACACCAGTATTCCAATATTTTTCATCTAAAATTACTTTGACCGGAGACTTCAACATGTATTTTCGTGTTCAAAATTATAATAATATAATCTTTTACTAACTTTTAATCTAAATAGTCATGTCAAAGATCCTACACGAATCACTAATAATAGGATTGATATAGAATAAAGAGGAGATGCTATGACGAAACCAAGTGTCTGTACCATTGCATTACACTTTTACGTCATATGTCAAAACCAAGCTGGTGCTAGTCAGTTTTTGTGAGAATAAATGCCATTTTTTAAAATAACTTTATTTAAATGATATAAAAACATTTTCATTCTGCCAATATTCAAATAAATAAAAGTTACCACTTTAAGTCACCATTTTAATTACACTTTTATGTCACTCGAAGTACGTCCATTTCTTATATCGCAAAATAATATTAAATGTCGGATCTACTTCATTCTATCTCGATGACACGTTAATTGACTATTTTTGATTCTCTTTTCTGGATAGTAATGTCCTGTGAATTCTCGCCCGTTATCTGATAATGAGGTTGTTTTGTGCTCATTGCCTCTTGATGAAAGGCTTAATAAAACTAAATTCAGATGTGATCTCGTTTGTTTATCAAAACTAATTATGATAAATTTAAAGTGTTTTACCATAATTTGCGCATATTTTTAAAATCCAGTTAACCCATTAAAAAATTGATATAAAAAACAACTGCAGGCTAAAAATATGTGATCCCTTAAAAAATATATCAAATATGAGTTTTTCTTAATTTATTACTTCCAGTACAGAAAAATGTACTGTGCTGTTATTAAAAAAGCTAAGGATATAAACTATTATTCTGAATTTGAAAATTCAAATAATAATGTTAGAGAAACTCAGAGTATTATCAATGATTTCAAAAACAATCAAAATTCTAAATCTGTTATGAATTATATTGATTCAGAAACATTTAATCAGTTTTATTGCTCAATTGCTGAAAATTTAACTAATAATTTCAAATCTCCTAGTAATCCTTTAGATTACTTAAAAGATACCCATCGTCGTCGTAGTTGTGAAGGGTCCTAACCCACAAATAAAGAGTTTACAGAAATTTAAATTGTTCAGTTACTTTTCAAGAACCAACTGACTAGACATTTTGTAAACAACGGGCGGTGAAACTTTGCTGATTGTGGGTTAGAAGTTTTCACAATTCGTAGTTTCCCTGAAGTCGCACACAATACTGGGGAGTGAATGGTTTTATTTGACATAAAACTATTCATCCCCATCGAGTTGTGGGAGAGGACCAAAAGCAAATTTGACAAAAATGTGTATTTTTACTAATGTGTTTGATAAAACCTTTCACAAATGATAAATTAATATAAGGTTGTATCAAAAATGGCCCTATACCAATTATTGAAATTTTGTGTGGACCCTTCACAACTACGACGACGCCATGTTTATTCATATTTTACTCTAAACTTTACAATTAATTTTGAAATAATGGATATATGTTCAGATACTAAAAAAAAAAAAAAAAAAATGCTTCTGTGCTGATTATAATGATAGTTTTTATAAGAGTTATCCTGAACCTTTATGAATCAGCAATGTTGGTCCTCGCTAGTCTGATCAACCATATAATAATAATAATAATAATAATAATAATACTCTCCCTAATTCACCCCCTTACGAGTGAATTTTAACCCCAAAAGGTGAGCTTGTGCGGGGAAAGGGACGGCTATTATTATTATTATTATTATTTGCCGTGGCGCTCCGAGGCGACTTAAAGATGATTGATGGTGCCATTTGACTTACAGGTAAGGAAAACCCGGAAAACCTCACCGACCATCATCGAGACGGTAATGTATGGCGAATTTTTTTAATCTGCATGTCATATCAACAGAAATTGAATTTCTATTAATACGGCACACATCAAATCCTATACCGAACCATGCAATTTAATTAAAAATCCACATGGTCTGGTCTAGGATTCGAAGACCAGCAGTCTCTGACACAGAAACTTGCTTATAAATGAATATAAGCGCGTTAGACCGCTACACCACCGTACCACCATAGTTTTATTGATTCAAATTTTCCGTCATTTCTTAAAATCAGTATTATTGTTCCCATACATAAAGACGGCAGTATTATGCCTATATCAAAGCATGCTGAGTTGCCAACTATTTGGGGAGAGGGGATTATTTTATAGGGGGGCATTTTTCTACTTTAAGAAATATATATCTATTATTTACGGATGGAGAAAAAAATTCGGCAAATAAAAGTTGCTTTAGGTCATTCTCTATAATTTTTGTTCTATACATGATTTCTCTAAAATGGACCGTAATGGAAAAATTTGAGAAAGTGTGTTAAATTTTAATTTATCAGTATTTTCATTGGCAATTAATATACATGGTAGCTGTTAAAGATGGAACCAAACCTATAGTGCTTAAACGGATCAACATACAAAACCCAAAATTTCAGAATTTCAACTAAATATATTTGCGCATATTTTAGCCCTAAAATTATTATTTTTTTATAAATACAAAATTTTAAGCATGGCCGCCATCTTGATTTTTTAAATAGCAACATAGGTCATGTGATATACCATTTTAAAGGGTTTAACACGTTGATTACAAAAATGTATCACACATGAGGTCTTGTGTCAAATGCACAGCCTCCTACACTCCCTATTAATAATATCCTTTCTGTTGTGTTTAGACCCCATGTGTGATACATTTTTGTAATCAGGGTGTTAAACCCTTTCAATTAATATATCACATGACCCATGTTGCTATTTAAAAAATCAAGATGGCGGCCATACTTAAAATTTTGTAATTATAAAAAAAAAACAATTTTGGGACTAAAATATGCGCAAATATATTTAGTTGAAATTCTGAAATTTTGGGTTTTGTATGTTGAACCGTTTAAGCACTATAGGTTTGGTTCCATCTTTAACAGCTACCCTGTATATTAAAAAGAGTAAGATGTGTGTGGAAAACAGAGATAAGAGGAGATGTAACTACAAACAAATATCATGATGTCGTGAATAAGACAAAGTAAAATCTAAGAAACACAGAAGGGTGGTATAATAACTGCTGTTTTCATGCCCATTTCATTATTCTTGTTTTGTTAACAAAATTATTTACATATCTTAAAAAGCTATAATAATTCAACCTTTTTTATTGCAGCTAAACCCAAAAATTTTGAATCATAAGTTATATCAAATTTAACTGAATTAGATGTAAAATAATTTTCAAATTAAATTCCAAAACTTAGTTAATGTTAGTTGGATATCAAGTATTTTGTACTAGATGTGGCAACAGGGCTTCATTCATTGATAAAATTGTTTTGTGGGCCATCTAATCCTTTAGTTTATCCCTTCCCTCAAACTACATGTCTCCACTCCTGATCTACAACTGGAGTGTATTGACTGTGGTATCGATGTTGGCATCAAGAATATTTTATTTCCTGTTATCTCTGGTGGAAAATACAGAGTTGGAAACGGCCAATTATCTCGTAAATTACGGTGATTCCAGATTTTATATTTGCGATATTGCTAGATTTGCCGTTTCTCTTAAATTATTAGTCACTTTGGTTTTTCAAATTCATCACCCTGTGTATTCAGTCGTTATTGGAATCTCCTATTTAATATAAGTTCAACCATATGTAATACTTATGATTTTATGTAGTCTGGAAAGTCTTAAATAAATAAAATAAGTCTGGCAACGCCTAATTGTCTCAATAAATTTTTTAATACAAACTATTTTCAACTACATTAAAACGTAACAATTGAAAGATCATAACATTTTTAACATAATGGTTACTTTATCAAGTGTTCAAAATGTGCTCCATTTGTGAGTTGACAGTACCCCTAATCGATGGTACAATGCATCTACCACATTTCTCCATGATGGTTTTATTTATTTAAGACCTTCCAGACTACATAAAATCATAAGTGTTACATATAGTTGAACTCGTATTGAATAGGAGATTTCAATAATGACTGAATATACAGGGTGATAAATTTTAAAAACCAAAGTGACTAATAAGAGAAACGGCAAATCTGGCAACATTGCAAATATCAAATCTGCAATCTCCGTATCCCAAAATAGGTGTACCCCAAATTTTGTACAATTAGGGCTAGCAATTTACGAGATAATTGGCGGTTTCCAGACTTTTGGGCCACTATGTATATGTATTTAGTTCATCTTCTAAACATATACACGTGCGATACAATATGTTGTACAAAAATACAGAATAATAAGTTTGACAAATCAATTTTTCTGTATACTACCTATATTTTACCTATGTTTTATTATGGATTTTCCAATGATGCAGAGCATTTTATTAAGAATATTTTTTTCTTTGTGTGAAATGTAAGATAAACCTTTATATTCAACGTTTTGGGACACCCTGAATATTTTAAGATGAGGCCTGGATATACTTAAAGACTCGTTCTTTAATAGAAAAGGAACTAATGACTATTATAAAAGTATATGTTTATAAACCAGTTAAATTTAATAGTAAAACTTAATATTTGGAAATATTAGTTGTAAAATAAAGAGAATAAAAACTTATCCTGTTTTTATATAGCAAATCCTAATTTAAATTCATAGGAGACAGTCATTACCGCCAAAACACATGCATTTTATCAGAAAGAAACAATCATTTTCCAATTATGTTTATCAAATGGGTTTCCTCAAAATCTTTAAAAATTATAGTAAGTATAATGTCTATTTTATTTGTGCCCCAGTGTAAAAGATAGTAAAATTAAATCATACATCAGCACAAAACATGAAGTATGGAAATTAATTTAAATTTAAAGACACAATTTCCAATAAATTTTCAAAAATTATATTATTTTTCAATGAAATATTTTTTATCATTAGATAAACATTTTTTAACAATACACCTATAATAGCAGCAGTAAAGTTAATAATAATTTTAAATAAATGAAATCTTACCTGTTAGTACCGGAGCTATTTTTCTGACCAGGTGGTTGCATAGGGTGCCCAGATCTAGCACACCAACCAACTGGAAAAATATCCCTGCTGTCATACCTACACCAATAGTCAAATGCACCTCTCCATCCATCAAATGTTACATGGATTTGATCATTTTTTACTGCACCTGTATAAATTAATTTATTATGGTAAAAAACAAATTAAAATTAATTATATTAATGACAAATAATCTAAAAACTGCTTACCTACAGTTGCACAACAAATCAACTGAGGATTTTTTTTATCTACAGCCTCTAATTTTTGACCAATTTGAAAAATATTTTGCCTGGGACCGAGAGGCTCCTTTTGAAATATTTTTGATGGTGCCATTTTTGCATCTTTCAAAATTTTGAGTAGGAACATAGGCCAGGAACTTGCATTCATCCTAAATCCTGGAAATATTACAAATTACTCAATAGTAAGTTCATCCGATGCATTGACTTGTTAGAAAAATAATAGTTCCTACAGGTTGGTAGATAATTTAAGTAATTTAAATGTTAATAAACCAAATTTTATTCATAAATCTACAAGAGCTAAAAAAAGTCATTTTGAAATTAAAATAATGACAAGTTATAAAAGTAATTTTAAAAAACAGACTCATGATTTTGGAGTCTGCCATCACAAATTGAGTTTGCTGATTTTCTCATGTATCCCATAATCAAATCTTGACCAAATGTCAATGGGTCCATCCTCAAGGTACCCTTTTCTAACAAAAAGAGAATCATAGAAATCGGACAAAGTGGTAAAGATTTAATATACAAAAAAAAAATATGAATAGATCGATGATTTTCTCATGGATCCCATTATCAGATTTTGACCAAATTTATATGGGACTACCTCTAACAAACCCCCTTTCTAACAAAAAAAGAATCATAGAAATCGCACAATGTGGTAAATAATTATCATTGACCATGCATAAAATTCTGACAAAATGAGAACTTCCTCCTTTTGGAAGTCCCATAAAAACTATAAACTTTTGATAAATAACGTTACAAAAGAGTTATATTCCAACTATATTTAAATTTTGCTTTTTAAAGAAATTATTGTTAATACATAAATCGATACTTCATATTTAATATAAAAATACTTAAGTATATATGTAACATACCTACATTAAAAATGATAAAATAAAGTCAATTTAACAAAACATAAAAGTAATTTTAAAAATAAGATGCCATTACAAATTGAGTTTGCCGATTTTCTTATATAAAGTAAAAGTTGAAAAGTCTTTTGGTAGGTAGAGAGGGGGTAAACGTCAAACCACGTCGGGCGGCTCCGAGAATTTCACAGTAATGTTTACCTGCCAGTGTCGTTTCATAGAATAAGTAATTTTAAATTGTTATCGGCGGAACCGGACAATCGCATGTATTTATGGATTAAAAATAATTATTAAACATATAATATAATATTCAAATTATAATTTTACAAAATTTCAACAGCTATTCACAATTTATTAAACTATTTACTCGAAATTGTTATTAACATCTATAAAATAATTTTGTACGCCAATGTATCGCGTCCACTTCAGTGAGATCCGCTGCCAACCTGTCAATTTATGTGTATAAAGTGGGAGAACTGGCAAAAGCATTTCCAACTTTTACTTCTGTTCTAGATCCCATCACCAGATCATGACCACATTTATATAAGACCACCCCTGAGGTACCCCCTTTCTAACGCAAAAAAAAATTATAGAAATCGAAAAATTGGTAAAGAATTAGCCATGAATATACATATAAAATGGAGAGTGGTGATTTTTTCTTGGATCCCATTATCATATTTTAGCTAAATTTATATGGGACCCTTAGGTACTGCCTTTCTAACAAAAAAGAATCATAGAAATCGGACGTGGTAAAGAATTATTGCTGAACATACATAAAAAAAATATTCCGATAAATTGAGAAACTCCTCCTTTTTTGAAGTTAATAAAAGAAAAAACAACTAATCAGCAAGTAATCACACAATTTTCTTTTTAATATTATTGCTTGAAGAGCATTACATATCTTCAGGCAAATAATTAAAAGCCTGTACATTAAAAAAAACTAAATTTTCTGTATACTTTTTCATGGCCTCATGAACTAATTTTTCAATTTTTTCTTGTATTGTGTTCATGAACATCCTGATAACTTAAATTATCTTCCGTTTTGTAAACAAGAATGTGTTTATTAAAAACCTATATAAAGTAAACAATTAGGTACCTAGTGGAGGTTGAAGCATTCCACCAGATTTTTCACAATGTCCAATAGGATGAATTTCACTTGAATCGACCAACCTCCAAAAATCATTTTTATTATCACTCCCGTCTAGTCTTAACCTCAATCTAGGACCAAGTATACTTATAACTGTGGCGATACAAGTAGAAGTCACATTTCTAGGGTCTAGAGCTTCCAATTTCATTCCTACTTCAAAATCATTATAGGGTGGGCTAGATGCTTGTTTAAAGCAACCTTGTGGAGCGGGTATAGAGTTTGTTTCTCTTAAATATTCATCCCAGTTAAATGGTTGATATGTTTCATATTGAAAAGGACCAGGTGAACCTTCTAGAGTAGTCGTTGGGGCTACTGTGGCTACTCGAGAGTTAGCAAGTTCCTTTTTTTGGTGTTTATTCATACAATATGTAGAACAGTATTCCTTTGAAGGTGTATTATTGCCTCTTATAACATTATCACACTGTATACAAGCTCCTTTAACGTATGCTTTACGGAATTCCGCCAGACAAGTCTCTGAACAGAATTCTTTCTTTCCATTTGTGGTGGGAAATACATATTTTAAAGGTAGTTTTGTCTCATTGCACCAAGTACATGATATAATTTTCTTTGGCGGCCTACCAGGGCCTCTTGATTTTGCAATAGATGAATTATTATTGTTAGACATCTTTTTTGGTTAAATTTTAACAATATGCCTCAATGAATCACTAGAAAACAAAATAAATGCCATAATGCCGGCAGCAATGGTGTTGTTGTTTTTACATTCTTGGTAATGTAATATTTTCAATAATATCACTACATGTATTTATTTTGTTGCATGTAGTAGTAAGTTTATGATCTTTCAGATAAACTTTATAGAAAAATGTCAATTTTCACTCACGTCAAAACAGAATGTCAACAAACGAAAAAACAAATGCGAAATGCTAGCATTTTCGCAAGTGACGCAATGCTCATAGAACAGAATTAACAGAGACAAGTGACAAATGACAAATTATGAAAATAGACGAGTTCTACCTTATGCTGCGTTTGAGAATCCACATCGGATGCATCTGAGATGTAAAAAATCTTTGATCACGTGGTTCAGTATACGTAAATGTAATGGGACAGATGTGTCCGATGTGGATAAAAAAACGCTCGAGATGTAAAAAATGCATCCGATGTGGATTCTCAAACGCAGCAATAGAGTCACTTAAAGTTCTACAATTCAAGCTGCTAACTGCTAACATTGCGTTCGGTCTGCCAAGTTCCTTTAAATCCTTTAACACTTTTTACTCCAAACGACCCTTTTATGGTGCGTTTGATTTGATCATCGGAGATCTCCGAGCGCTTCAAAAGTGTTTGAATTGACACTCCGAGAGATCCCTAAAGTGTTTGTTTCTCTTTGGAGCGAGAACATAGAGCGAGCTCGATGTTCTCAGAGCAGAAAAATCGAGAAGAGGGAGAAATTTGTCTTTGTCTCTACCTATCTCTTTTTAATTAACTTACAAACAACTTTGAATTTCAAAATTAAAGACCAGACAAGAAGTCAACAAATTACTTAGCCGCTTTTGTCTTATAGCTAAAATTATTCATCATAAAAAACACAAAATGTGTGTTTGGAAAATACATGTTTTCTGTCCAGATCTAATCACCAGTAATCACAGTCATGGAGTATGGAGAGCGAAGCGTGCATTTGTGGTAAATGCTGCATTTCAGGGCCATTACCCCTTAATATTAAAAAAATTTCCATTTTATTTACTTTTTGCTCACTATTTTAACCTTCGAATATGCTCGAAGATTTTAACATACAAACCAGAAACAAGAATCACAAAAAAGCGAGGTTATGTTTTTTACTCCGTTTTATTTAATTTGATTCAATGCTCTATTGTGACGTTACCACTTCTCGGTCTCCTCGACGCTCGCTCGATCGAGTTTCAAATCAAACGCCCCTATGCGTTCGGTTTAGTCTGATTAGTGACAGTTTAACACGCATAAATGTCATTTAAAAGCACCCTAAAAACTCCGCTTTTGTCCCGCTCCAGCCCCTGACTATCCGAACTCGCCTTATAAATACTTCTGTTTGCGTTCACTTTTCAAAAAACGCTATTCCTCTTCAGTTCCGAATCTTGGAATTGACGAACTCGCTCAAATAATGCCATATACAGATACCTACTGATTTTTACATCAACCACATTTTTAATTACTTTGTAATTGAATAGATGGCACTATGCCTTCAGTATTTAGGAATTTTTGATTGAATTTGGGATGGTTTATTTCGGTTAACACGTTCACCGCCAGCATTTCTGATTTTTCTTTCAACAATGCCATATAGGCCAGAAATATAAGAGTGATTTTATTGTACAAGATTTACAATGAAAGAACCTTATAAAATAATATAAATTTTAAAGTTTAAATGAATTTATCTAATTATGACATATAAAGTGACTTCTTTTGTAATCGCAGCAAGTGTCAAAACGAGCTACTTTATGAAACTGGTTACAAAAAGTTCATTATGTCACCAGTTACGAAAAGGTTACAAAAAAATTATTCTATTTTCTATATAAAAATTAATTTTGTCAGCGAACTTAGGACGGTTTGATCGCTATTTTAAAGCAATCTTGATCCATCATAAACCTGTACGAAATAGTCAGAACACTTAGGTATATTTCACACAAATCACACCACAGCACGACACTGATATGACGACTTTATGGAGAAAAAAATTAAAATATCTTTTTATATACCTAGTTAGCTTTACTTAAGTATTTCAAACGCTTTGACGTTTATCGTTAATAACTACTACTAAGTTATGCAACAAACAATGGAGATAGGAGTAATATCAGTTGCATATAATAATAATAATATAATATTATGTATAGAGAATTTTAATAAAATTAAGTGAGCGCTTAAGCATAAATTAATTCATATTTTCTTTAAAAAATCTTCTGAAATAACTATATAGTGTAGACCAGAATTATTTTATGTTATTTCACAATTAGATTTAAGTATTACTATTATTAAGGTCCGATTACAATTAGAAGAACACAGCTACGTCATCATTTAGCAAAGTTATTGGTTATCGCCGCCTACTGGGGGTTTAGTGGAATGTTAATATTATAGAAATATAGAAAATATTGTTTTATAACTAACAACTTATTCATTTTTTATTTATTGATAGTTATAAATAATATAAATATTCGAAATTCGAAGCAATGGTTATGACGTAGCGGTGTTCTTCTAATTGTAATCCGACTCTACCAATATATAATTCACAAAGAAAGCAAAATCCAGCCACACAGCGAACGTAGAAAAACACAGTTGTCAAATTGCAAACATAAAATGCCCTATTGTAATTTATTATTAATCGACCTCCCTTTTAAAACCAGCCTATTAACGTAATACCGAGAGTTAAACCACTGAAGATGTAGGCAAGGGCGGCTCCAGGGGAGGGCTATGATGACCATGCCCCCCTGTGATGAAATTTCTTACGATTTATGAGCCTTTTATTCAAAAAAAATATGCTAAAAAGGGAATGACTATGAAGACTAGAGATAAGGAAGCGAATCGGCCTTGGTCAAATTTCAAATTTCCGTCCCTATTTTTATGGAGTTCCAAAAAACTACTGTAGTTGGCGGGTGGCAAAATAACGACGTCTATTTTCTATGCAAGTCAATGGGAATTAAAGTGATTTTTGTAAAATTTAGTGAAAAGAATAAAAATAAGCTGAAATAAAGAAACTGAATACAAGTAACAATGAGTAACAAAAAACGGGATATAAATCCGATATAAAATTAAAGAAAACACAAGGAGATAAAAATCTAAGTCTTTTTAAAGCTCCTAGTGTAAGTAAAATAATATATTTATTTCTAAATAATATATATTTATTGTAAAATATTCACAACCCGTATCTTACGGAGTGTAGTTTATTTAATTAAAAAATTCTATAATAAAAAATAATAAAGTCATAAATCCTGACTTACAAACAACAATAATTACACATTAAATTTAACTTACTAGAAAGGAAAATTTGATTTTTTTTATGTTTTTTGATGTTAGATGAAAAGTTACTACTGTTATTTTACTTTATTGAACTCAAATTTAGTCATTGCAAATATTTTTTATAGGATCCTATACGTTTAGAACAATAGCAGCATGTGATTCCTAGGGCTGATAAAGTACTGTCTAGTTAGGATTCTGTTTGCGAGCTACACTTTTTAAAAGATGATATTTTAAAATTTGATTAGACTATTTTAACTAATGGTACTGTTAACAAAATAAAAAGGGAAAGGCCGAGATTAAAGAACAAAGCAATACCATGTATATTCCCGAATCTCCCTTCATACTTGTCCAGTACTAGGAAAAGACGAAAACCACCATTGAACCAAACTGAATTTGTTAGAATAAAAATACCGAAGAAAATACTAGAACCTATTGCTGAAGAAACTATTCACCAGGATGATGAAATTGTAGTTGTCGAATACAAAATTACCACAAAACTGTACTTACCAAATTTCACCATTTAACAAACCTTTTCAAATTTGGTCATACCTAATTTTCATTTTATTTAGATAAAATTAAATAATGAATATTAAATAATGTTTAACATAAAGACTCATTTATAACAGTATTTTCTGTACTTTAGTTAGCAATAAACAATTTGATTTTTATTATTTTCATAAAATTTTGTAAAATCCGTAACTAAATATTTTCATTTAAACCGTGTCTTAGTATGCCCTCAGCCCTATTTAGCTTTAATTAAAAATAATGAGTCCTACCCATCACATTTCAACACTTATCATCAATAATTTGCATGTTACTTAAATAGGAATAAATAGTAAATAATGTATCAATTAAAATATGTAAATCTTATTTATTGTTAGAAATAAATACAACACTATGTTCTGTGCTTTATTTAGAAGTTTATTTTTATTATTTGCGGGTAATTATAAAAGCTCAATTGACGTGTGATTTTTGGGACCGTATTTTGAGCATGCCGATTCGCCTCCTTATCTCTAGTCTTCATAGGAATGACTAAAGGCAATGGCCCCCCGAAAATTCGTTCTGGAGCCGCCCTTGGATGTAGGTGTGCAAAGACGAGGATTTACGAGTATGTATAAGGATTTCTCAAAGATATATTATGATTTTTTGAACATGTACCAGGATATAAAAATGTTTAACATGAATTTATTTGGCTTAAAAATATCAAAAATTTTAAATTGCACTAAATAGGCCATAAGATAGAGTGGATTTACAGAGTGGGTTTACAGAGTGGATTTACAGAGTGGATTTACCTGTGAAAAATTAGAATACAACTAAAAATGATTGGTATGTTGGTCCAATTCGATATCCTGATGAATCTCTGTCAAATATTACCGGGCTATCTGTCTTGAATTTTTTAAGGGTGCTTTTGAAAATTCTGCGCAAAGAACTAATCTCAAACCAAAAATTCGAGTCCATTCCTTATCTAAATGATATTTGTTATGAAAAACCATACGTTTCAGACGACAGACGACGGACGACGGACGACGGACGACGGACGACGGACGACGGACGACGGACGACGGACGACGGACGACGGACGACGGACGACAGACGACAGACGACAGACGACGGACGACAGACGACAGACGACAGACGACAGACGACGGACGACGGACGACGGACGACGGACGACGGACGACGGACGACGGACGACGGACGACGGACGACGGACGACGGACGACGGACGACGGACGACAGACGACAGACGACAGACGACAGACGACAGACGACAGACGACAGACGACAGACGACAAACGACAGACGACAGACGACAGACGACAGACGACAGACGACAGACGACAGACGACAGACGACAGACGACAGACGACAGACGACAGACGACAGACGACAGACGACAGACGACAGACGACAGACGACAGACGACAGACGACAGACGACAGACGACAGACGACAGACGACAGACGACAGACGACAGACGACAGACGACAGACGACAGACGACAGACGACAGACGACAGACGACAGACGACAGACGACAGACGACAGACGACAGACGACAGACGACAGACGACAGACGACAGACGACAGACGACAGACGACAGACGACAGACGGCAGACGACAGACGACAGACGACAGACGACAGACGACAGACGACAGACGACAGACGACAGACGACAGACGACAGACGACAGACGACAGACGACAGACGACAGACGACAGACGACAGACGACAGACGACAGACGACAGACGACAGACGACAGACGACAGACGACAGACGACAGACGACAGACGACAGACGACAGACGACAGACGACAGACGACAGACGACAGACGACAGACGACAGACGACAGACGACAGACGACAGACGACAGACGACAGACGACAGACGACAGACGACAGACGACAGACGACAGACGACAGACGACAGACGACAGACGACAGACGACAGACGACAGACGACAGACGACAGACGACAGACGACAGACGACAGACGACAGACGACAGTCGACAGACGACAGACGACAGACGACAGACGACAGACGACAGACGACAGACGACAGACGACAGACGACAGACGACAGACGACAGACGACAGACGACAGACGACAGACGACAGACGACAGACGACAGACGACAGACGACAGACGACAGACGACAGACGACAGACGACAGACGACAGACGACAGACGACAGACGACAGACGACAGACGACAGACGACAGACGACAGACGACAGACGACAGACGACATACGACAGACGACAGACGACAGACGACAGACGACAGACGACAGACGACAGACGACAGACGACAGACGACAGACGACAGACGACAGACGACAGACGACAGACGACAGACGACAGACGACAGACGACAGACGACAGACGACAGACGACAGACGACAGACGACAGACGACAGACGACAGACGACAGACGACAGACGACAGACGACAGACGACAGACGACAGACGACAGACGACAGACGACAGACGACAGACGACAGACGACAGACGACAGACGACAGACGACAGACGACAGACGACAGACGACAGACGACAGACGACAGACGACAGACGACAGACGACAGACGACAGACGACAGACGACAGACGACAGACGACAGACGACAGACGACAGACGACAGACGACAGACGACAGACGACAGACGACAGACGACAGACGACAGACGACAGACGACAGACGACAGACGACAGACGACAGACGACAGACGACAGACGACAGACGACAGACGACAGACGACAGACGACAGACGACAGACGACAGACGACAGACGACAGACGACAGACGACAGACGACAGACGACAGACGACAGACGGCAGAAACAAAGGACCCCGCACTTTTTACATTGATTTTGGGTACTGTTAGAATTTGTTTAAATTTTAGTATGTTATTTTTCAGGTCTTTAAAGGAAACTTTCTTATGGACCTTAAGTAGGCAGCTGTTTATATTTTCAAATATATTTTCACCACTCTTAAGTAATTCTTGTTTTGTCTATGAAACTTATGTCATGTGTTACACTTGTATATAGTTTGTTCATGCTTACTTACACTTTGCAAAATAAATCATACAGCGTGTTCAAAAAATAAGGAATGTCAGTTACTGAAATAAGGTACATAACTTTTTTTTTATTTCTGTGCTTATCAATTAGAATAATTTCAAAAGGATTCTGTGAGATAAGAGGTTCGCGAGTGTTAGCTTAAATAATAGCTAAATTATGATGATAGGGTTAACACGTAATCTTTACAATTTCAGACTACATTTGTTGCGTTTGTTTATCCATATCGGGTGCATCCAGTGTTGCCAAACATTTTCATGCAATTTACAGTATCGGCGATACAAAGTTACCGTATTTTTCGACGTATTATTAAAAATAACATTTAAAGGTACCTATCTTTTTGTAACGTGGTAAAAATGTTCTATATTGACATTGTATGTGACTGGTTTTAATGACTTTTGCTTATCCTTATCCTTATAAACAAAGTAAGAAATTATTCTATAATTATCTATAACAAAGTCACTGAAATGATTTGGTTCTTAATAATTTGGAATTGATTTTTACTTTCTAGACTTACTAGACTTACTCTGTAGACTGCGGGTGGAAGAAGGTCGGTACTATTATTTATTTACTCAACATTTTCATGAGTATGAAAACTATATTGTGCTCTGGTAGATGCTGCATGTTTAGAAAATTTTTCTCGAAACGTTGAAATTCGTTAAACTGCATTTCTGCATTTGCCAGGGTTGGCTTTGATTTAAATTTATTTATATGTAATTGAAATTATATTTTTAAATTAGTTAATGCAATGTAGGTATTGAATAATAAAATAAATTGTTGTTCTTATGTTTACTATACATTATATATACGGGGTGGATCATAACAAGAGTAACTGAAGTATCTGTTAAAAATGCTTGATATTTTTGAACAGAGACATTCAACTTCTGTATATACTTACGATTAAAGAAATTATTCAACATTAAATACGTGCGTTCTTTGAACAATGTAACTAAAATATTTTTAATGTTTTGCGAGAAATACGACATGAAAGGATAACTTGGAAAGTGCTTGGCAATCAATAAAACTTCTTAGTGTTTAATAAAATATAATAGGAAATAAAAGTTATTTTTACCTACTGGTTGATTACAATAACTAGTACAACAAACATGTATGGTGCTTTAACTGTATTTAAAATTGAGGGAGACATGTATATAAATAACATAAAGAGTTTCTTCCTTTTAAATTTCAGAATTTAACCAATTGATTATTAAATTTTATTATAACATTTAAAAATAATCGGAAACCCAGAAAACTGAATACAATTGTCCATTGTCTAAATAGGCACCCTATTTGTAAATCTGATGACGGCGCACAGTGGACGAAACTAGCCGCCACATGTATAAATGTCTAATATAATAAAAGTCTATGGCAAATTATTTTGGGGTTTCTTTCCTTACATGGAATGCTCCGTTTATAAAATTTGGATAAACTGTATAAATTAAAAAATGCATTTCGTCAAAATATGTATCTTTAGATGATCCCTTATGGAGTTTTAAGCTTGCACCGTGTTGTACGTTAAATCTGATCCATAGTTGTTGAAAAATCTGTAAAATTAAGAAAAAGAAACTAAAAGCTATTGGGTGGAAAAATCACAATAACAGATAATACCTACCTACTTACTTTTTATTTTTGGTGGAAAAATGATTTTTTCCAAGTTTATCATTGGTATTTCGAACACGAGTGTCCAAATTATAGATAGAATAAATGAAAGCACATACAGTCCCCAAAACCAAAATGCCTAAAAATATTAATAACAATATAAATGTGTAAAAAAAATTGACATTTTTTATTAAACATTTAAATTACAGGATCTGTCTAAGAAATATTGTTTTTAAAGGTAAGAAATAAAAGAAAACAAGTCCTTTATATCTCACTAAGAAATTTGTATTTGATCAGCAACCGGTTTCGAAGTTTGTTCACTTCATCATCAGGCACACCAAGTGGGCAAGAGAAAAGGGGGGGAATTGATGAATTTTAAGTTGTTAGCAAAAATTAAAATTAAAAAATGATGGAATATTGATTTAGTTTAAGTGAAAGTCACAAAACTAATCTACTAATATTACTAATATTTATTTATTCACGCTAACAAAAAATTATTAATCAAATTAACGTACTAACTGAATGAAAAAGCAGAAAATGAGTAGATTAGTTTTGTTAATTTCCCTTAAATTAATTCAATGTGTGTGTGTGTGTGTGTGTGTGTGTGTGTGTGTGTGCGCGTGCGCGTGTGCGTGTGCGTGTGCGTGTGTGTGTGTGTGTGTGTGTGTGTGTGTGTGTGTGTGTGTGTGTGTGTGTGTGCGTGCATGTGTGTGTGTGTTTATGTATGTGTAGCATTTTAAGAACGAGAAACTTTAAAAATTTGGTCCTGATTAAACAAAATTTGACAGGCCAAAAAGGTTTGTTAAAGTTTTTATCCTAATTTTAATATACAGTGCTTCTCAAAAGTCCCCCTCCCCCCTCTTTTCTTTTGAACGGTGATACTTAGACTGATGAAATTTGGAGGGTGAAAATAAACTATTGTAAGCTTCTCTACTAGTGGTAACAGGTGACGTAACAGGTATCGGTGACGTCACCAGGCAAGTTAAACCAATAATATTAAATGGGACCTTATTTTAACCATCAAAAACATAGTAACTCCAAAAAAAAATAGTATGATTGAATAGGTATTCTTAATACCTTTCAAACAAGGTGTCACTTGATATAAGGTCCCATCTAATATTATTGACTTCAGTTGCCTGGTGACGTCATCGATCCCTATTACGTCACCTGTTACTATTAGTAGAGAAGCTTACAATAGTTCATTTTCACCCTCCAAATTTCATTAGTCTAAGTATCAATGTTCAAAAGAAAAGAGGGGGGGGGGACTTTTGAGAAGCACTGTATAAATTATTCATCTCACTCAAAATAATAACAAAATGCATATTACCAGTGTTCACTTATTTGCTCGGAGAATTTTTTAACATTTAATTTTTCAATTATTAAATGTACTTGTCATTTTACGATTGGTTTATAGAAACATGCGTACTAACGGTATGCTGACTTTCGATTCAAATTTCGTCCAAACCGCGCAATGCGGAACGAACTTTCAAGTTATTTTGACACTTTTCGATTGAATAGTGTAAAATACTTTAATAATTTATTTGTTTTTGTGTTAGTAGTGACTACGTTTTTCTATATATAACAGGAAAGTACTGAATTAATGTTTAAAATGCCGGGCTGCGCATAATACGAAATCCAAAAATAGTGTAATGTAAGATATTTTCGAATGCCACAAAATGTAGGTAAATTCTTATCGAAGAAAGGACTTACTTAATTTAAACAATGCACAAGTATAATAGGTTTAAAGACAGTGAACAGTTGCTAAAATAAAAAAAAATGTTGCCTATTCACTTTGTAACGATTGGAACCGCTATTTTGTTACTTTGGACACAATCGCCCTTTACTCAATTGTCATTTGTCGTCTATGCTTTGTATCAGAGGAAGTGACATTTGGATTTCAAAGACAGCGACAAATAGGTCACTTATATTTTGGTTAATCTCGGTCATCCGAAGTATTAAATTATATTTATTTATGTTAATGACCGTTTGATTTTATAAGGTACATAATCTCTACATCTGATACATTTAAGACATGTTAGCTCTATATAAAATTTTATATTATTTTTTGGAATAAGATATTATGCTTTACTATATTTAAATATAATAAATAAGATTTTTCCTTTTCATATTAATTTTAGTCTCTGTGAAATTATTCATTTAATAGTTAAATCATTTTATCTAAATCCTTTTCAAATTTTCTTTCACCTATTATAACATTTTAACCCTTTTTAGCCGATGGCTATCTCTAGACGGTTCATCTCTAGACAGTTTTGGGTTCAAATACAATAAGAACCATTTATCTTAAAGATCATTCACGATTCAGTCACTAGACGTTTCGGGTTCGAATACAAATAAGAAACATTTATCTTGAAGATTGTTCGAGTTCGAATACAAATAAGAATTATATATCTTAAATATCATTCACGGTTCTATCACGAAGAAGATTTATGAATAAGAATCTCACATCACTTGGTAGAAGTTGCCTGACTGGTATATAATGTTTGGAGATTGATGTACCTCTGTAGTTAGAGATGAAGGAAGAAATACCTGATTTTACCTTTAACTTACCGTATATTACCTTATTTACCTACAGATAAGTGCAATTGATTTAATCAATAAATTGTTTTAAATTTGAATTATGTGCAAACTTGTGTGAATTAGAATTTAATACCTACCTTATTCAAAGCATGTTTTAGGTATAATTTGTTAGTTGTTGCGTGAAATTAATTTTAAATTAATTTAAATTTATTTTTAACAACAACCTCTTCATGACCCCTCGTAAATGACCAAAATTTAATCGAATCTGAATTGCAAAAGCACGGTCCCTCGTTTTTCTTTTACATTCACGCTAGTGAACTATAAAACCTGCTGCTGTCGCCCGGATCGTCCTTTTTTGGCTTATCGAACTACGTGGTGTGGTAGTGTGTGTCAACAAATAATTCACTTAATTATCTTGACTTTTATATGTGCTTATTGTGTGTTAACGTTGGGATAATTGTCAGGTAATGTTTCTTTCAACTTATATTTTAACTTTTTGCTGGATTTAGTTTGAAAACCGAAAGGATCGGCCATTTGCTTTTTTTTATTATCATCATGCTGACGAGTGCCGGTTATAATTACTGTTTTATTTTATTTTATATAGATTATAGCTACTCTACCTAATAATATTTTTACGCTTTCTTTGATATATACGCGGGGAGGCAACTAAATAATTGAATTACAAGTCAGTCTGGAAATACAGTTTAAACATAAATCTATGGCTCTTAACTTATTTTGACCTTATAAATAATTCATATTTTGTTCATATGATGTAAAACTTATTGCTATAACTTATTTTGGCCTTATAAATATTTTATATTCTGTTCAGATGATGTAACTTTAATATTTGTTCTGATATTTTATATTCTGTTCAGACGTTGTAACTTTAATATTTGTTCTGTTTATGCATAAGTCCGTTAGATTTCCAAACTGGCATGTAGATCTACTTTTACTGTTACTGAGGTTCTTTTTATTTCCAAACTTGTAGTGGCTCCAAGAAGTCCGAGTTACATAGTTGCTCCTAGAAGCTTTAAGCTCCAAGAAACTCCGAGCTTTAAAGTCCAAGCTTTACGCTCCAAGAAACTCCAAGCTCCAAGTTCGAGTTACGTAGTTTTTCCAAGAAGCTCAGAGTTACGTAGTTTCTCCAAGTTCCGAGTTCCAAGTGCGAGCTCCAAGCTCCAAGTATAAGTTCCAAGTTCCTGGTTATGTAGCTTCTCGAAACAAGCTCCAAGTTTCTAAGTAAAGGCGGATTGTCCACGACATACGACAGGGAAGTACCGCTATTAGAATGCCACATGGTCGAGATAATTAAACATATTAAATATCAATTCTACTTCATTCAATTCATTTTATCTAACATTCAATTTTATTCATTCATTTTTCAAATTTAATCATTAATTATTAATTCATTCTTTTTACTTTTTTTTATTATTAAATGTATTAAATTTTGTCACTTCCTTTAATTTTCCAGAACTCATACAGATAACTTTAAGTACCAGAGACTGGCTCAATAAAACAGGGCATATCAAATCAGATAAGTTTTCCAACTTACTCAAAAACTTGGTGGCTCTCAACATTTTTGTCGTTAATGTATTATAGTATCTTTCATTTTATCGTAAAGTAGATTTTGGCCCGCGAACAGGTCAAGCTACTCTGATTTTATTTGTCCTGGGCAATTTATGAATCCATGCAGTACCAGCAATTTAAGCTAAATCACTTCTTAAGTACAATTTACATCGTAGAAATCAAAAAGAAGGTAACATAGTGATTTTCTATATTTTTATCACTAATGTAACTTCTTTTTAAAAGTTATTAGAGTTATTTAAAAACCTAACCTACGCCCTATTAATTAGGCTCAAACACATATATCAAAATAAATAAAATAACCAACTATTCATGTTACAGGAAAGTAGCTGTGAAATTCCTCTTAAACATAGATGCAAGAAAAGGAAGCTGAATTTTACCAGGTGCACGGGGACTTATTAAGCAAAAAAATTAATAGTTATTTTAAAATTTTAGCAGAAACAGGAGTTTACTGTCCCAACCCAATACAACGGTCCCTTTTGAAGTAATACTATGCATGAGCAGGACACGAACATAAAGGGTGTATCTTACACGATGCTTTTTTCAAATAACTTAACAACCAGGTGACAGATCGCCATGTTTGTTAATGTTGCAGAAACGTTACACCAGTACAATTTTAACAATGAACACCTTACACCACAACAACGTGCTGAAATTGTAAAAATTTATTTACAAAAAAACTCCTCCGTTACGCTGACTCAACGAGCGTTCAGAGCGAGGTATCGTGGCCAGAATGCGCCTACCCCGAAGACTATTCGTGATTTGGTTGCAAAATTTAATGCCACAAGATCTTTGGCAACCTCTGTCCGTCGGAATAAGCCGCGTACCAAACGAAGTATGGAAGCAATAGCAGCCGTAAGTGCTGACGTCGCGTCGCGGAGCGTCAACAAGTTTCAGTCCGACACCGTGCTCAGCAGTTTGGCATATCCCCCATATCCATGTGGCGGTTGTTACGGGTAGATTTGGGCGCCTTGCCTTACAAAATGCAGACCATTCAACAATTATTGCCAATTGATAGGCCGCGTCGCATCCAATACGGTCGCAATATGCAGGACATCCTTGCCGTTCAACCTGATTTTTGAAGCTGTTTGATCATGACTGATGAAGCACATTTCACGCTGTGTGGCGTTCTTAATACACAAAATACCCGCTTTTGGGGCTTTGGAAATCCTCAAAAAATGATCTTCGAAAAGCCGTTGCATTACCCCAAAGTCACTGTTTGGTGCGGTGTTTGTGCTAAAAGGGTCATCGGCCCGTACTTTTTCGAAGACGATAATGGCACCACGGTAACAGTCAATGGCGAGCGATATCGGGCCATGTTTCGCGATTTTGTGGCAAATGAGGTGGACGAACATGAAATGTGCGACTATTGGTTCCAGCAAGATGGCGCAACATGCCATACAGTACGTCTAACAATGGATTTATTGCGTGCAATGTTCCCGAATCAATTGATATCGAAATAAGGCGATTTCGACTGGCCGGCTCATTCACCAGATGAGACCGCACCTGCCTTTTTTCTGTGGGGATACCTGAAGGGAAAGGTTTATGCCGATAAACCAGCTACTCTTCAACAACTAAAGGCTAACATACGCCGAGAAATCGCTGCTATCCAATCCGAAACACTCCAAAAAGTGATGGAAAATGCCGAAGAACGGGCCGATTTGTATTTGGCGTCCGGAGGTGGCCACTTGGCCGATGTCATCTTCAAAAAGTGATCAAATAAATTGTAATGGATCCAATTTCAATAAAAAAAAGAACATTTGTTATAAAAAATTCACTGTTTATCAAATTATTTAAAAAAAAACTTCAGATGCCACTATAAGATACACCCAGTATGTAATACATGAGAAAAAAAAATTGGTTTTGAGTATTTTCAAAGTAAAATTGATAAAAAAATGTTCAAAACCAAATAAAATGTAATTTTTTGTGTACTTTTTACAAATAAATAATTTGTTTCTAAACACTTATTTTTATTTCACATAATAAGAATAGGAATTGCAAGAGAATTACCACGCCCAGAAAGTACAAATTTGAGTCAAACTTGTATTTTAAGTCTATATTTTTTACTTATCTAATGGCCAGGTAATGGATTTTGTCACAAAATATCTATAATTTATGAGAAAAATTATTATTTTTATTAGTATTATACAGTATGTCGCATTTAAGATGAATACACCCCTATATTTTGTCTATCTAAATAAATACAGATTTGAAGTTTTGCACAGTAATACAGGATGATGGTTCATATTTTTAAGATACTCAACTGAAATTTAAATATTAAACGCGGCCTACTGCGAATCCACAAACAGGGTCAATTTTCGATATTTTTCTTCGCGTTGGAGATATCAGAAAAAGTTATTTGAAAAAGCTGTTCAGAATATTATTCTTACCCCACATATCAAATTTCATGATAACATTTTTAGTTTTTTCATTATTTTTGTCAATACACAAAATTATTAAATGTTGATTTTTTTTATTCGATAAACTAGTGTGCCATGGATAGGAATAATTTGATACTTGTGAAATCATTAATGTCAATCATGGCACACTAGTTTATCGAATAAAAAAAATCAACTTTTAATAATTTTTTGTGTATTGACAAAACTAATAAAAAAACTAAAAATGCGAATTTTGTCATGAAATTTGGTATGTGGGGTTAGAATAATATTCGGAACAACTTTTTCAAATAACTTTTTCTGGTAACTCTAACGCGAAGAAAAATATCGAAAATTGACCCTGTTTGTAGATTCGCAGTAGGCCTCGTATAAATTTAAATTTCAGTTGAGTGTCTTGAAAAATGTGAACCCTCACCCTGTATAACTGTGCAAAATTTCAAATCAGTATTTATTTAGATAGCCAAAATATAGGGGTGTCTTCATATTAAATGCGACACACTGTATACCTTAAACCTTCATATTTGTAAACGAATATATTACAAAATAACTAATAAAGCTTAAGTAACTGCATAAAATCTAAAACCGACGAAATATAGAATTTCAAACACTCCCATTTAATGCTACTAATTCTACGTCTCACGTGACTTCACCGTTAGACAGCTGCATGTGTAGGAACATACCGTTAGTCTGTGTATCGTGATATTCTAGTATATTTAAACTTGGTCTACCACTACCTGATGAAGGATCAATATAGGCTGCAACTACGGCGCATACTCTTTTTTAAGTGTATAAATGGACTCATAATATGTGTTCTGGGTACACTTTGTTTCTATTTCGCGATAAATGTAGGTATATTGATTTATAGGTACTTACCATTAAATATAAATCAACATAAACAGGTGCCTTTGCGGAAAAGGCTACAACAAATGCAATTGATAGATTGAAAAGAAATATGTTGTAAGTGAATTTATTCATAAGCCGAAATATAGGCAGCGATAGTATGGTGTTAATGAATCCTAAAAATAAATAAATAATGATTAATATAAACGGTAAGTTATATATGTGAATATAATAGACTTTTTTATAATAATTTTTAGTATATAAATAGGAGTAGAACCTTATTATTATTGTTATTTGAGGTAGCTTTAGTGTAGGCTTTAGTTCAGAGTTGTCTTAAATATGAATTAAGTGTATTTTTAACTTAATAAAATTTTTAAAAATAAAAGTTCCGTTTCGGAATTTTTTTTTTAAATCTTTTGTAAACTACTTTACTTATAATAAATATTTTTTTTTTATTATTAGCATAATAGCATAAAGAAGGTAATTTGAAATATTTCTGGACTTATAACTAACTAATATACCTGCCCAGATAGCACAAGACGTCTCATAGATGTCCTAATTTGGTTCCTTGTTGGTCCGGTTGATTCAAGATCTAAAATGGACGTCTATTGGACTTCCGATCACCGTGAACATTAGCACGTCCTTCGGAGGACGTCCTCTTGGCGTTCTATTTTAGTCCCGTTTCGAAAAATATTGATTTTAATATTAATATTTTTGTATTATTACCTTTTATGTAATAAGTTGATACTTTTTTTAACTGTGAATAAAACTAGTTAAAAGAAACAATTTTCTAATATTTTCTTTTAAATAACTCAAAAATAGGCGAGATATTATGCTAATTTAAAAAGTCGAACAATTTGTTGTCAGTTCATCGCGTGATAGATTTTAGGTAGCTTGGTTTGTTTAAAAGTAAAAATAGCTTATGTGTACGTTTTTTTTTAATTATTGAGTTATTTAAAAAAAGTTATTTGAAAAAGTTGTTTCTTTTAATTGTAAACACAGTTGACAAAAAGTATCAACTTAGAAATCACCCTGTATTATCCCACACAGAGCTGGCTAATTCCTAGTTAAAATGTCATTAATAATTACATATACTTTTACTCATGTAATTTGTAATTGAATCGATTATTTGGAAAAAGGAACATGTCCAAAAAGTCCAATTTTACAGGAGGAACAAAAAACTAATTTAACAAATCCACGTTAAACTTTTATCAGTAAAATGTTGATGATCTTTTAGTACCTACTTTGTATTACTGATATTTTTATAAGTTTACAAACTTTAATTATCACTACTTCAATTTTTTGTTTTAGTTTTACTTTTTCGGACATGTTTACTTTTCGAAATAAACGGGTAAAAATACTCTAAATTTGTTTATAATCGGTTTATTATATAATATGGATAACCTATTAGTGTCAAAATTTAATCGTATAATGGTGTAATAGAAATTTTAAAAATCTTCTTCATGACGGTCCTCTGATTCTGTTACTGGCCTCTCAAACACTTTGTTGCAGAAGGCTCCTAATGTTATCATATTATATTATAGTTCGTACCATATAAACTCATGTCTTGGGGAAATGATGATTCGCCTTTTTTGGATTTTATGAAAAACCAAAATTTGGAAGGGTCGAGAGCGATATCTGATTCGGTTGATCTAATATAATTTTGGTAACGTAATTTTGTTTGCTCTTTAACTAACGCTCTGATATTTTTAAAATTAACATAATCAGCTTCATTACGGCTCTTTCGAAAGTACAAGATCTAGGATTCTAGCTGAAGCAGGAAAAGAAACTGTGTGGCTTCGAAGACTTCTATCTGATTTTCAAGATCTGCAAAGTGTACTAACTGTAATACGAGGTACGTCCAGAAAGTAAGTTCCGTTTCAATTTATCTCCGCTCCAGCGCTGCGATCGCAGTTCCGCACATCCGCGGTAGATGCTCTGTATCCTGGAGAAGAAACGTGTGCCATTTGTAGGTCGCAGTCAGTAACGTACGCTTTGTTGTGCTTGTTTATAATGTCGGTGTTGATTGAAAATCCCGCCGCTTGTGAAATCAGATCTGTGATTCGTTTTCTGAATGCGAGGAAAGTGAAACCAATTGAAATTTATCGGCAAATTTGCGATGTTTACGGACAAAATGCGATGAGTGATTCAATGGTGAGAAGATGGGTCCAACAGTTCAATGAAGGACGTAGTGACGTGCACGATGAAGAACAAAGTGGGCGTCCATCTTTGGTTACAGAAGAACTGGTTCACGCGATTGATGAAAAGATCCAGGAAAACCGCAGGTTTACAATTAGTGCTCTCGCTATGGAATTTCCCCAAATCTCACGATCACTAATTCATGAAATTGTTACCGAAAAACTGAAATTTCGTAAACTTTGCTCACGTTGGGTACCAAAGATTCTTACTTAGCAACACAAAACAAAACGGATGGGTAGTGCACTTCAGTTTTTGACCCGTTATGATGAAGGTGGAGAAGAATTTCTGACACAGATAGTCACAGGAGATGAAACTTGGGTTTCTTACGACACCCCTGAAAGTAAGCGACAATCAATGGAATGGAGGCACACTTCATCCCCAGCAAAGGTTAAGCCGAAGCAAATCTTGACACCTCGAAAAATGATGTGCACAGTGTTCTGGGACTGGAAAGGCATCTTACTCATTGATTTCTTACCGCGTGGTCAAACAATCACAGCAGATGCTTATTGCGAGACACTTGGGAAATTGCGCCGCGCAATACAGAATAAGCGCCGAGGATTGCTGTCAAAAGGTGTTGTTTTTCTTCACGACAACGCACGACCACACACTGCAAATGTGACGAAAAACCTCCTACAGGGATTTGGCTGGGACGTGTTTGGCCATCCTCCGTACAGCCCAGACCTCGCTCCTAGCGACTTTCATCTGTTCTTACATCTCAAGTCTTTCCTTGGCGGTCAACACTTCAACAATGACGACGAGCTGAAAGAAACTGTTTCCAACTGGTTGAAGACACAGGCGGCAAACTTCTATGAAGAAGGTATACAAAAACTTGTGCCATGCTATGACAAATGCCTGCAAAATTTCGGCAGTTATGTGGAAAAGTAGTTTAAGAGTTGTAGAATTTTGTGCAATAAATAATTTTTCTGTATCTGTACACAATTTAATTTTATTACCAAACGGAACTTACTTTCTGGACGTGCCTCGTACATTGTGATAATAAATATGCCATAAAGCTTACAACTAATCCTGAATTTCACCCAACATCTAAACATATCGACATAAAATTCCATTTTATAAGAGAACTACATAGTACAAAGATTGTCAATATTGTATATTCTCATCGCTTCAAGTTGCCAATATAGTTACAAAGAATTTATTTAAAGGATATTGGCCTCATACCAAATTTATATTTCAGATTGTTTATATCAAGGGAGAGTGTTAAAGATAGATTTTGTTATAAACACCCTGTAATAGTCAAATTTTTTATTTAAGTTAATTATGAATTCTAACGTTACGTTGATTTGTCATTAGAGAGTTTTAGCAAATGTACGTAAGATTTCCGCTAACGTTACGTTAAACTTAGATTGTGACCTTTTTCATAAACATTGAACAGAGTAGATTACAGTCTATCCCTAAGGTAACGTTAGCGGATGGTTAGCGGCTGTTTGCTAAAACTCCCTATTATCAATAAAATATGCGCTAGCTCAGTGATGATGTAATTATGGTTCCACAGACAACTAAAATGACAGTAGATTTGTTGAGTGCGTTTTGTTCGTTTTGTTTACCTAAATTATATCGTTTTTTCAATTTTATAAATATATTCCTAGAGTAAATAGATAACATGCATCAAATATAGAATCGTTTAGATACCAATTACATACCTTTAAACTATTTTTTATGATCTGTATACAATATTTAGAAATAAATTAAAAATGGGAAAAACGTATATGTCAAATTTATTGATGTTTTTGTTAAAAGTTTGGTTAGAATTAAATGTCAGTGGAACCAAAATGACATCACACCGAACTAGCGCATTCACACCAAGACTTATTTTATTAAAACTTAGTAAAAACTTACTTTTGTAACACCTATGCCATACAAAATTTTTCATGGGTCATCTCAAGCTGAGCTTAACTTTAAGTAAGCTTTATACAACCCGCCCTTAAGATATCTACAACTTTAAGGAATCCATAAGAAAGTCGCTGCAAACAGCTGTTACTTTGTTGTTTTATCCGCAAAGTAATTATAAAAGCAATTCATAATTTCTTTTTTCATGTAACTGTAAGTAAATCAATATAATTCCTATTTTTACAACATGTAATCAATTTCTTTTTAAAAAAGTACTTTGTAATTATAATTATTTTTAAAATACATGTAATTACCCAGCTTTGGTCCCACAGACGTCTGATTTACGTGCCCAGAATGTTTCGTAAAGGTTCGGATGGTGACCCGCAGGAATGTGTCCATAACGTGCTTTTGGGTTGTTTCAGATAGGTACATCCCGATGTAGGATGTAGATGGCAGCAAAAGAGACATTAGGACGTCCATTGATGGAGGTCGGATTTATGTCTTGGTACCGAAAAAGGGCGTCTTTTAGACGTCCTTGTGCTATGTGGGTGAATCTTATTGGGATATTTTATTGTAGGTACCGAAAAAATAAGGATTTTTGTAGGTTATTCTTAATTCTCTTACCTCCATGATTAGTTTGACACGCCCATATAACCCACCATACTGCCAAGGCAAATATTGGTCGAAATAAAGTAAGGTAAATAATAGATTGAATTCTAGCATACTCTGGCGATTTTAAACTGTAGTGATTTCCAAAAACACATATAATCATTACTGTAAGTGACAATATCCATAATAGTATATTGATTTTCTAAAAAAAAAAAAAAAAATAATTTTACAATTCAGATAAATTTTTTTTTTCGTTCTGTGTCTACGTTATCGGTAGCAACTCTTTCGTTCGCAATTTAGAACAATTTGTAAATAAAATATAGCAGGTTTTCGTTTTCATTCAATGTTTCTAAAGTAGACCACGGAAATAATTACTAATGTCCTAGCTTACAATGATTCTTCTATTTTAAATAACAACTCGGATTTCATTCAGTGGGTGTGCGGAGTTATCATGGATGTGACTTCTATATCTGATGACTCGGTCGGTCATGGTCTACTTTACAAATCTTTGTTTTAAATCACAAGTTACTTTCATTTAGAACGTAAGTAGATATCAAATATATGTTACTGTCAAAGAAAAATGTAGGTAGGTATACATTCACTTGTCAATGTACATATATATATTCGTATATTTACAACTCTCTTCAAATCTTGAGTTTCTAGGACAATAAACTCGTAACCTTCCGCTATTAGAAGATGGGAATGTTTTTTCATCGGAGAATACTAAGATTTCTCTCCGTGAATTGAACATTCATTTGCAAATTGGACTCTTCTATGCTTATTTTCTGCAGTTAAAAAACTTTGCGGACAGTAGGGAAACCTTTTTAAGCCAGCTTGTTTTAAACTCATTTGAGCTAGTCAAAGAGGTCCAAAGAATAATGTTTATTTTCGTGCTTTTACAGAGGTTCCAAAAGGATATATTCTACGTCAATGAAGTTTTTAAATAAAGTAAAATCCTTTAAAATATAAATAGTTCAGTAACTGAAGGGACCAACCTGTCATTAAGTCGGTCCAGATTTCCGTTGTGGCTCAACTCTTAGCTCTCGGCGGTCGCTTCCAAGGTCGAAAACTTTTACCAACTCTGCTGCATCGGAAAGGACCCAAAATGGACCCTAAAACTGGTTTCCCGCCAATATCTTCCACAATATGCAAATTAGAGAATTTTTGTTTAGATAAAAAAGAAAGATCTTATCATTATCTACGAAAATGGTCCCTATCATTTTTGTCGGGAATTCGACAGGTTTCGAGATAACCGCAATCAAAAGTCCCCTCGTTCAGCCCCTGCTTTATCTTTATAGCAATGCTGATTAGCTTGTAAACGGGTGGACAAATTGTTTCAGAACTCGGTCAAAAATTGATATTTTTCGATGATTCAAAGTTATGTGAAAACCCATAGGTATCGATCCATGTACCTTGAAGCCCGTTATTTTCTGTCAAGAACATTGAAAAGGGGTCAAAGTTGCGTTTTTCCACTATTTTGGACCACTTTATAGTAATTCATTCATATTTTTTTCTTTTAATAGTTTTTTATCCCATTTTTGTTGTAAATGGGATCTTGAGATGTCTCGAATGATCTCAGAAATTTTTTTTCCAGTATCTTCCTGGCGTTTTAAAACAAAACTGATTTGTTTATTTGCATTTTTCATACGTTTTCGGAGTTCTAGAAATCTCTGAAACAAGCAGTAATTATAAACTCATATTTCATTACATTGTTATTCAATGCACACCATTAATAAAAAATACATTCGAAAAGTAGACACTCTAAGCTTTAAAATAATGTGCATTGTAATGAGCATTACATGTACACACTGTATACGAGTTGTGCAATGTATACTCTTGCATCGCTTAGGAGATTGTTTATTCGTTAATATTATAATCTGATTAATATGTCATTTTTATAAGTCCAGTTATTTGCTGAATAAAGCCAAGTTTTGGTCGTTTTCTATTCCCTTATTACATGCATTGAATAACAATATAATGAAATATGAATTTTTAATTACTGCTTGTTTCAAAGATTTCTAGAACTCCGAAAACGTATGAAAAATGCAAATAAACAAATCAATTTTGTTTTAAAACGCCACGAAGATACTGGAAAAAATTTCTGAGATCATTTGAGACATCTCAAGATCCCATTTAAAACAAAAATGGGATAAAAAACTATTAAAAGAAAAAAAATATGAATGAATTACTATAAAGTGGTCCAAAATAGTGGGAAAACGCAATTTTGAAACCTTTTTTAATGTTCTTGACAGGAAATAACGGGCTTCAAGGCACATGGATCGATACCTATGGGTTTTCCTATTGTAATGAACTTTGAATATCAATTTTTGACCGAGTTCTGAAACAATTTGTTAACCCGTTTACAACCTAATCAGCATTGCTACAGAGATAAAGCAGGGGCTGAACGAGGGGACTTTTGATTGCGGTTATCTCGAAATATGTCGAATTCTCGACAAAAATGATAAGGACCATTTTTGTAGATAATGATAAGATCTTTCTTTTTTATCTAAACAAAAATTTTCTAATTTGCATATTGTAGAAGATATTGAAGGGAAACCAGTTTTAGGGTCCATTTTGGGCCCTTTCCGACGCAGCAGAGTTGGTAAAAGGTTTCGTTCTTGAAAGCAACCGTCAAGACCTAAGAATTAAGCCACAAAGGAAATCTGGACCGACTTAATGACAGCTTTGCATATTTTCAGGTCTTCAGTTACTGGACTAAAATGTATTAATCACATACAATAAAAATTATATTGACACCAGAGTAAGGAATAAACTGGTAGAGAGCTTACACGTAGCTTACACTATTAACACTCCCCCTTAAGCTAATAACATATACAGGGTGAGTCAGGAGAAGCGCACCAAACTAGGAGTATATTATACACGTGAAAATAATATAAAAAAACTCATGTTCTTATCCGATTTTCATTTGTTTTTAAGTTATAGCATATTAACAAATAAACAAATTTACACATAAAAATTCTCTTATTCTAAATTTAAATAAGTATCTGGCATTTTGCAACACTAACAATCACATAAATTCAAAATTAAACGTTCAGTTACTGTTCACTGTACACTGACAGTTCATCAAAACGTCAGAATTATCAAATGCCTTTGAGCCTTGAACATATGGCATACTTTGATAATGTTAAAATTCAGAAGTGGAAAGCTAGATGAACATTTTTAATTACACCATAACTTGAAAACAAATGAAAATCGGATAAGAACATATGAGTTTTTTACATTATTTTCACGTGTATAGTATACTCCTAGAGTTTGGTGCGCTCCTCCCGACTCACCCTGTACATCAACGATAACGTAACGTAACAATAATTCACGGAATAACTGATATCCCCATTTCTGATGTGCATTTTCTGTGCTTTCCGTATGTCAGCCACCATATCACTACTCCTTAAGGGCTCCACTTACCTCGTTCTTCTTCGCTGTTTTTACCCGATGGTTAAAAACGTTGGAAGGAAAAACGTTGACTGATATGTCCACACACAACAGTTTTTTTCGCGCCAGTTTATCATGATGGACCGTACGTGCTTGCAAGCAGTGGCAACGGTTTTGGCAGTGGAAAAAATCGCGAAAAATGAAAATCTCGAAGAAAATGGTCTAAAGACTGGCTACTTAAACGCAGTACACTGTCACAAACAAATTTACTGGAGGAGCTTAGATTGGAGCCTGGTGATTGGCACAATTACTTGAGGATGGACGAGGATACGTATCGGAAACTGTTAAAACTAGTAACACTGTTAATTAAGAGACGTAATACCCATTTACGGGAATGCATCAGTCCTCACGAACGCCTAACAGCTGCTGTGCGGTTTCTGGCCACTGGCCGCAGCTATGAGGATCTGAAGTTTTCTGTTATTATTTCACTGCAGGCACTAGGACGCATAATACCCGAAAACTGCCAAGCTCAATAAACTCTAATAAAAAATCTCTGTTCCACTGCCTAATATCCGACATTTTTATTATAACCAGTTGTGAATAATAATAATAATAAACAACTAAAACATGCTGAACGTCACTGCTACTGATAAATGCCCGACCAGTCAAACTGTTGAGAACACACACCTCGTGTTTACTCGAACGGTTGGCACGATAACCGTCAAAAATCAAGATGCCTGAAATTTTGGAACGACGTTCTTCCCCATACACCTCGTTTTTGTGACATTTTTACCCTGACGTTTTTAACCGTCGGTTAAAAACGGCGAAGAAGAACGAGGTGAATGGGGCCCTTAAGATACTGTAAAAGAACTTGACCATTATTTACAGCTTTCCCAATAAAATGAAACCTTATTTCAATGTGTTTCGTTCTATTATGAAATACAATGTAATCTGCTTAATAGGTCGATTTAAAATTTCAGAAAAGAGTCGTTCTAGATATATTGCTTCTTTGCACGAATCAGAAGCTGTCATGTATTCTGCTTCAGTCGACGATAACGCAACAGCTCGTTGCTTTCGATTGTCCCATGATATGGGTCCACCTGCCAGTTTAAAAAGGTATTCAGTGTAAGATTGTCTTTCGGATTGCTTATCTCCCCATGAAGCATTTACAGATCCTTCAATAGTGTTGAAATCATATTTTTTATAGCCAATGCCCAAATTGCTTGTAAATTTTAGATAACAAAACACATATTTTACCAAATTCCGGTGGTACATTGTGTAGTAATCTCAGGCCTGCTGCATTCTAATACGGTACAGCCAAATGTTTATTTTCATCAGAGGCTGCGACCTTTAAATTAGGTTCAATAGGAGTGGAAATACCATTTACATCTGAGAAACCAAATTTATACAGAATATCCAGTATGTAACTTTTCTGACTTAAATAAATCATATTATTTATCCCTAATAAGCTCAATTCCAAGTACTTCTTTGGCTTCACCTAATTTTTTAATTAAAAAATTATTATTTAAGATTTCGAAAAATGCATTCTTTTTATCAATATTATGTGAAAAATATAAAAATAAAAATCATCAACATATAATACTATTATAATAATTGAGTATCCTTGAGTCTTTGAAAATAGAACACTCATATTTGGATTTTTGATAACCATTGTCTACAAGAACTTTGATTACTTTTTTATTTCAGGCCCTTGATGATTGCTTAAGGCCATAGACATCCTTTTTTAATCAAACAAACTTTAAATTTTTGACCTTTTTCTATAAATAATTCTGGTTGTTCCATGAAAAC